GAGCCGAAGGCAGTCGCTTAACCAACTGAGCCACCCAGGCGCCCTATACCTTTTTTAAACCTGATTTTTATTATTCAACTTATATTTTACTTAAATATTTTACTTGTATTTACTTACTAATAAATCAAACTGAAAAGAATAAGAATATTTCCCCCAATTTCAGATGTCCTCCCTCCCCTCACTCTTACCCTATGACTCCCACAGTCAAGATTACTGGAGTGTAACAGTGTCACCTCCAGAATTTAGCATGTTTCTTACACCAAGCAGTCTTCAAGCGTATCCTTTCACTTGGGATAAACACTTTCCAGAGTGTGAAAACTGGGAAAATTTTAAGGAAACCACTTTCTAGATTTTCAACTCCATATGTGTTCTCTCAGAGAACTGATCTGAAGTATCCTTCCCTACTTCCTCTTTAATAATCACCCCTCTCCCATTTTATGAAAGGAAAAGCATTCTTATCTATCTGCAATCTTATTATGGCATAGTGCCCCAAGGAGTGAACACCTCTGGCCACCAAACTAAGGACTTTTCCAGAATGCATAGTTCACTTGAGAATAAAGCAATGAGGTATTTGGAAAGAAAGAGGCTGCTCCTTATTTCATCCAGGTGACCCAACTATGACAAGGCTCCAAATCTTATTGTCTCCTTAGGAAGTCAGAGGTGAGATTATTGTCATATGAACATGTATTATCATAATTATTTGACTTGAAAAATGGAGTCAGACCTATTCTGCTGGCAGAAGTTCTTATTTGACTGATCAGTTTGGCAGCCAGGATAAACCTTGGCAATTAGGCTAGAGAATGGGCATGTAATACACTGGATAAGCTAAATGGGCAAATACAGGATTTAAAAATATATATATATTGAAAGCACATTTAGAATTTACCAATGATTACCCCCTTTCCAACTATTTAAACTTATGATTAAAATAAAATGTGATGGCAACTTAAATTGTGCATAGGGGTTCTTAGATTTTCAAAATTATACCAGGGAAGACATCTGCAAAATCTTTGAAGACTACTGCATTGTACAATGTATACTGACCAAGGGAAAAATCCACATGTCAAGAGAATTTGCATTCCCTGGCTTTATGATAGATGGGGGGAGGGCTTACTCCAAGATTTCTCAAAACTCTTTCTTTTTCTTTTGAGTGCCTACTAGATACTCTAAACATGCTATTTAATGCACAAATGTCCAGGGGAATAAGTAGTCATCCTATTTAAAGTATTTAAAAACTGAGGTTTAGAATATTTGTTCAAGGCTGCACTGCTGGTTACTTAAGGGAATCAAGATTCCAGTCAAAGTCTGTCTGACTTTAGAGCCCATTCTGCTGCATGATGAGCTTTCAGAGTGAAAAGAGTCATTGTGTCATAATAGACGTTAGACTGGGGGACTGATTTTTTGCCCTCCGTGGACTGATATGAGACAACTGTGTGACTACCCAAAGGGACTGGGACTTCAGAAAAAGTTGGGGATATTTTCAGTTCAGCATAAGTCATAAGATTTAGAACACATCATGGGATATACGATATGTAGAAAGCCACATGGTTTATTTTCTCATGGGGCATTCACTTGAGGAGAGGAGTAGAGAAATTTAGATATCACCCAGCTCTATTTCTGCTTCTGTACTTTTGTGAATGAGTTTGAAATTGAGGCTACTTCATCTGTATCCTCATCCAAAGCCTTCATGTTGCACCAGATATGAAAGCAATGTGCTTTCCTACAATTAATAAGAAATGCCATCTCACTTTGCTGTGTACTCAAATCTCATTTCATTGACAAGATCTACCTAAATTATGATATTACAGAAAAGGTAGCTACTATCAAGAAAATCGGGGCTGCCCCAGAGCTATGAAAGAAAGGGTAAATTTTACTCTTTAGTATTACAAAGATTTCAGATTTACATTCCTGCTGATTTTCTAATCAGTGAAAGTGCCCTTACACGTTCTCCAACAGCACCGTCCCGTCCTGGAGTACCATCATTACCAGCTGGACCCTATAAAGAATCATGTTTGAAAAATGAGTTAACTGAGTAATGAAAAAAATCTCATTCCAATTGCCAGAAAAATTACAGCATGTTTCCACCTCTCTTCCATAAAGTATAAATTAGCACTTATGGAAATTTTAGTAGAAGAAAGTCTTCTGCCATGTTTTCTATTACTTGGAATTGCTTGTAAGATTATTAACACATTCTTACTTTTTTTGGTGCCAATTTTAATACAGTTTTATAGAAGACACTGCATTTCCACTTACAATCCAGTGCTTAGAAAGTTCAATGTTATTTCCTTGCCCCGTGCACATAGTCCATATTCAAGCATTAAGAATACCCAGTTATTTACTATGGCAGCTCAACTTTAAAACTATCATGGAATTTGCTATAAATTTGGGTCCTTCAGTGATTTGTGTGGAACAATACTAAATCTATGCTCAGGTTGGCTTAATCAACCTCTTCAATGGTGGGCTCAGACCAGGCAGCACCAGTTGGAGGGGCCCCACCACCAGGGAAGCCCACCCCAGGCACTCCTAGAATGCGTCCTGCATTTAATCTAAATTCTTCATTTCTATTTTTTATTTTAAAACTGGGGGGGGGGAATCCTAAATCCTTTGAAATACATAGGCAATAATTTTATTCTTGGAATTTTAGGTTTTGTTTGTATCACCAGTGAATGGTTTTCCTCCCTTTCATATCTTAAGCTTATCGAAACAATATCCTTGAAGTTTAAAAATAAAACAACTGGGTTTAGATATGAAATAACTTTTTACAATGTACATTCTTCTCTTCCTACATTACTTTGATTTTTTTCAGAACTATGTTTTTATCATTTGATGAAAAATTGCCCTGAAAGGTATTGATTGTTTCAAGAAAATGTGACACTGTCTGGTAATTTACCCATGAAAGCACTGGACAGAGGAGATTCCAACCTATAACTTCTCAAATCACTTTTCAAAAATTGATTTCCTCTCAAATGAGACTCAGGGAACATGACATGCATAATGTTACTTTATAGTGATATTTAAGTAGAATGATCTCTCCTTAATTTTCTCTTTTCACAAGCTGTAATTGTCATATTAATCCTATTACCACAAAACTTGGCAATTTTGAGAAATATGCCATTATAGAGTGAAATAACAAGATAAACGATGGATAAATGTGTCCTTTCACCTTCAAAACAATTTGGCAACAACCTAAATCAACTAAAATCCTTGGTTCCAGACTAGATGAAGTCAGTGCTTATTACCTTCTCTTTCTGTCCTCATGTAGACAACTCACTGGGGAAGTAAAGTACATCAAATAACATCACTAAGAAACTTCCGGTCAAATGCGCCATCGATTTCTAAATTTCTAAATTGATTTCTAAATAAAAAAAAAAAAAAAGCTGTTCCCATGACACCCAGATGACAAGAGGAGAGTTATTTTGATGTAGCACTCACTTCGGGTCCAGGCTCCCCTACAGGGCCATTTGAGCCCGGGGGTCCCACAGGGCCAGGCGGACCTTTATCCCCTGGTGCGCCAGTAGGTCCTACTTTTCCTGGTGTGCCCTGAAATAAGCATATAAATATGTCAACCACTTCTGAAGAAATGTAAGAAAGCCAGTTTACATAAAGGCTACATTTATTCAAATGGCACCTCAGTTCCGCCTTCTATAATATTAATTATCCATTATCCCACAATACTCACTTTATTTCTGTATCCCAGCACTTGAGTTTCACTATCTTATTGGGAGATTGTGCTTCTGGGTGCTTGGCTCACTTCTGGTAACAGTAAAATCTTCCCTAACTCCAGGTTTGCTGGTTTCAGATCTCTACCCACATTCCCCCAGTTGCAAGGTCCCAACAGTACATCTCTGTCCACATTCCGTATAAAAACATCATTTTTTTCCCCCACAAGTATGTAAACTTTTAGCGGTAAAATTTAATCTCTTCAAAGCTAAGAGTAAGTCAAACTTTTATCCCCACTCCAGGGAATGTGAGGTTCTTAGCAGCCTCCAGGGAACAGGAGATTACTTTCAGAGTCTATCTTTATCGCTCACCCCACTTTCACCTCCAATATTACTTTGGTTCAACTACTTCTTCCCTTTGATGATTTATGAAAACTTGCCCTCTGAACTGTGAAATATGGGTGTTTTGGTTAGGCATGTTTATTTAAAAAGAGGCTACCTACTCACCAGAGGAGATTATCCCCTTTCTCTAGCTCCACGGGTATTTTTAATCTTTGAAGAAAAATTTAGAATCACCCAAAATCCATATCCTTATTTGTCTACTTCTCTGGTCCCCGGGTTAAATAAATATATTTTCAAAGACTTTGCAAGGTGCTTAAGTAAAGAATTTGACATTCAAATTCAAAGGTTTTTACGATACTCAGAATTTGTGTCTAAAAAAGACTTTAAATCTACTAAGAAATAAAAGATAAATTCTCTCTTCACAAATTATATTGCACATAATCAGATGAAATATTGACCGACACGGCCACTCACCGCTGGGCCCGGCAGGCCGGGCATGCCTCGCTCTCCACGCTGTCCTGGCATGCCCACAATTCCTCTTTGTCCAGTGGTTCCAGCTGGGCCCGGGGGACCATCAGGACCCTAATTTTGAGGATAAACTATAATTAGAAATCCTCCAGGATAAAACCATATGCAAGGACTAGATCACAGCTTTATAGGTTTTTCAGACCAAAAAACCAATTCTGTTTCATAAAACCCTACTACATAGGAGTAGTCATAATTTATACTCCACATAGAGCCTCTAACATTGTTTAAAGGTGAAAGCAGCTCATTGATTTCCAAGAAACTTGAAGAGTAATGTGAATACTGAAGGAATGAAAGAGGTAACTATTCAGGCAACTATTTTTCCTCTTTTTAAAAAGACAAATTTTTTAAATAAAGAAAAGAAATAGTAACCTAACACATTAGTATTTCGAGACATTTAGATATCAAATAAAATAACGTATTTTAAAAAAATTGTCTTTATACAGCACAGATACTTAACAAAGAATGTTCTCTAGTTTTTGAACACCAGGCCCATTACTGTTATATTTTATACTTCTACATATCCTTTTTTTTTTCTAGAGCAGAGAAGTGTAAATTTAAAACATATAGGACCTAAGGATTTATGAAAGCACCCAGGTTAATGTATACAGTTTCTTTTCAGCAGTGAATATTACGGGTATCTATCAGTAAATATCTCTAATAGAGGTGGCCGCAAACCAAGATGCCAAACTTACCGGTTGCCCATCTTCTCCTGGGTCTCCTTTGTCTCCTGGGCCACCAGGGGGGCCAGCTGGTCCTCGATCTCCTACTCGCCCATGAGAGCCAGGGTCCCCACGAAGACCTGGCGGTCCCTCCTTCCCAGGTTCCCCTAAGGGCCCTGCAGGTCCTGGAGCTCCCTAGTAAAGATAGAAAGAAACCCGGGACGGCAGAGTGGAAGCCACATTAGAGGACTTGATGCAGTGGCCTCTCGGGTCCATTTTTCCTGTTAGATAATCAGTCATTCAGTGGATTTAAACAAAATTAAACAAAACAGAGCTGCAGATTCATTTCCCAGGAGGAAATCTAAATTATTTGCAGACAATTACCTTTGACTCAGTATCAGAAGTGTGTTGAAATTAACTTGAATTTTTAAACATCTTAAGCCTCTGCTCCATCAGTCAATATATAACATTTTATTCTGTCTGACCTGATCTTATCATGAAAGAATAACATTTATTAAACGAAGTTTCAGAGATGCTTCCTAACTGGAGGAAATGGTTATTAGCACACAATACCGTTAGAATTTAGTACTCAAATGGAGTAATAGTCAAACATTGGGGCTAAAAAGGACTGGATGATTCAAGGTGAATTTACTTTGATAGGATACCAGTGTGTATGAATTATTAGGATAATGGTTGTTAACAGGGGTTAACAAATCATTAAGGGATTAAATAAAAGAATAAACAGTAACTCATATATGTGTATTTATATAATGTGTATATATGTGTGTTTGTGTGTATTTTCATGTGTGTGTATGGGTGATTACTCCACTACCAATGATTTGAGTTACTGAATTGACTTACAGGAGGGCCTGGAGGTCCAACTCTGCCAGCAGAACCAGGAAACCCTGTAGCACCCTAGAAATACAATATCATATAAGCAATTTTAAAATAACTATTAATTACATATACTTTCTGGGATCTATTTTTTTCACAGGGATGCTTAGGCTTTAGATTCCCTTCCTTGTTATAAACAATAGATTTTTTTTTTCTTGTATACTATGTTTTTGGGAATGGATCTGCATTAATCAGTAGGAAGGATGCTATTTTTCTCTTTCTACTTTCCATTTATCTTGAACACATACAAGTATGTTCAAGGCTCGTGCTAGGATCACATTAATCTTTTGCATCACAGAATCCTGTAGAGTAGTTCCCCATTATTCCTCACCTCTTCCATAGGTAATATATTCTTTATGTTATATGGGAGGCAGCTGGGTCTCCAAGATCATAAAACTAATTGCAACCCAGATCTCCATTTAAGTGCCCTTTCCACGACAGTTTACTTATACAAGTAAAAACTTGTTGTTACAGCTTCAGATTAACTTTAAAATGGCCATGAAGTGCTAGGCGTCTGCGACTAGCTGTGTGTAATTCCCAGAGTTTCAAACCAACTTACGGGTGGACCCTGAGTTCCTCGGCCACCTTTGAGTCCAGGAACACCATTAGGACCCTACATAGAAAAACATGAACAAAAGATCACTATAAGGAAAGCAACATGGGCTAAACACAAAGTCTCACCATTGGGCATGTGACTCAGGTTATTGGTGTTTGTTTTGCTTTCCACTTACATGAGGGCCTGGGGATCCTGCTAGACCTTGTGGCCCAGGAGAGCCTGCATCTCCCTTCTGTCCTGGCTCTCCGGGTTCCCCTTTTATTCCAGGCTGCCCATCGGGACCCTATATCAATTGTTTAAATAAACAATCAATTATAACACTTACAGACAAGCTATTCGACAGTAATTATTACCAGCATATCATTTAACCATATATTGTTAAATGGTGCTTTGTGTTCAGTATTAGAGCATAGGAGAAGAAAATGCCCTAATGAGGTCTTTGAAGGCAGTCTGAGAAAATAAGTTATCCCACCACATTTTTATTATACCAAATAAGTATAGAATTTGAAATAGTGCGAACCCATCCATTTTAGTGCCAGTCATGGAAGAATGTATGAAAGAATATATTGAAAATGAGAATATTGCCTAGAAAACTGTAAACTTTCCAGCATCTTTAATATACCTTCAACACACAGGACAATGATAATTAATTGAATTTATTGCTATCATAAGAAGAGTGTTCATCGTAAATTAGAGATATTTGAAAATTATACCTGAGGTCCAGCAAAACCAACAGCTCCAGTGGGGCCATTTTCACCGCGAGAACCCTAGGATAAAACAAAATTACTGTAGCTTTCACACTTTATTCTAAATGGGAACAGTATTTAAAAATACAATTATATAAACTTACAGTGTTTTGAAATGTATAGATAGATGATTAGATGTATTTCTTGAGGAAGACTCTTAAGGGTGATATAGAGATAAGGGCCATAGAACAAAATTTCCAAGGTCTGAAGTCTCTAAAAACTGTCTTAATTATTTAGTAAATGAGTTGCTTACCAAGATTTAATAGGTTGCATACAAATAACAAGACTGGTAAGTTTTTGAGTTTAATGAGAGAAGTAAGAGCTGAAAACTAAGAAGTTATAAATAGCCTGAACCGACAGGCATGGTTTTATATAAATATCAGGACAAAATGATGAACTGTTTTCCTGGTCAGTCCCACTCTAAAAAAAACAATCAAAATACTGTCACTTACAGGATTGCCACGGGAGCCAGGAGGGCCAACTAAACCTCGAGGGCCAGGTTCACCCTAGAAAGCAGACGTTAGATGGTTATTGTCCAAAGCAGGAGCAAAACATAATGCAACTGGAGGGCACTGAGTGCTATGTGTAGGGCAGATGGTGGGGAGAACTCTGAGATGATCTTGCCCAATTACCACATGTTATGAAAGAGAAAACAGCATGAGAAAGAGCTATCATCCAGACTTCCTGACTCTGAGCCCACAAAACATCAATTTACCTTTTCTCCAGTGGGACCTGCAGGACCCGGAGGACCCAAGGGACCCGGAAGACCCTGTCAATGAACAGAACATAGACATATTGAAGAAGAGAATGCATGAAATTCTCCATGATTAAACAAAGGAGGTACCATTTTGTTATAGCTTAGCTGCTTTTGCAAAACATTGTCTAATAAATGATATAATTTGTATATTCTTAAGATTTTTCTCTTTACTCTAAAACAATTTCCTGGATGTTCTCCACAAAATGTTCTAATCTCTTTCATCCATCTCAACTCATCCCTACATAATACTGTCTTCAAACATTAGTTCTAAATTAATGCTACTCTTCTACAATGTTTCTATGTTTCCTGGTCCATTTAATTTTGAAATTTGAGTGTAGATTGAAAAAAGCTTTTCTTCTTTTGTAGAGAATATTATATTCTTAAATTACATGAACAAAGTACCACTCTATTTTTTTTTAAGTGAAACTGTGATAAGGCATTGAGTTTTCTACATTCTCTTAAGATTACAAGGAGTGTGACTACCCAACTACACTGAGGTTGGGGTTCTTTATGCTCAGAGCCCAGGGAGCTATCACATGGAGGTTCCAACTGGGTCTTCTTGACATGTGGTCACAATCTTTAAACTGGACTATAGTGGAGTCTTTTCTGGAACAAATTTTCTATCTGATATTTGTGCATTGCCTCTTCATATGCAGCCCAACTATTCTTTTGTTACTTAATTTTTGTATGTATTATGGAAGGAATTTAAGGAATAAAAAGGACTTCTTAAATTTATATTCTTATAAGAACATGAGAAAACTGTGACCATATATTCTCTAGATCTATAATAGAACAATATTCTTCCAATAATTTACCTAATATATTTCCTTAAAGAATCAGATTAAATATAAAGATCACTTCATTAAATTCACCCTCCCCTTTTATTTTTTCTTACAGAGAAAACATGTTATTCATTTTTTCCCTTTACTATGAGATTACAGCAAGCGGTCTGCTCTGCTTCCTCCTTAAAGCAATGTATTGTCCTTACTGAAAATAAAGTAGTCATTGCTCAAGTCCTGTTTCTATTACACTGCATTTTAAAGTTAGTTCATAGGAACAATAGATACATATTTCAAATTTCACCTTAAAATTAACTGTCAATGCAACACTCCTTCAAACAGAACTGCACTACTTTACTACTCACTATAGACCATCTATGACATAAGATACAAACAACCTGCCACATATACTTAGACCTTTCTTGAAATACAAAATCAAATATTAGAGCTAACTACAAGGCAAGAAACATCTCATGTTCATAATTTGCTAAGTTAAGTGTGTGACGTCACTCTTAAGTAGATTTTCAGAAAAAAGAAAAAAGGGGTAATTACCACTCGGACTAAAAATTTTCTTTATTTTACTTTATTGTCTTTATCAAAAGTTAACATAATCAGTGCATTAACAGTGGCTCAATGTGCCGAATCAATATGTTAACGATGGTTCAATGTGAGCTCTTTTTTATGGTACAAGTGCTCTTACCAGGGCACAGAATGACAACTACCAGCAAACCATGTCACACTGAAACAGAAATTATTCCTCAAATATCAGGAATTATTCCAGGAAATGTTGAACGTCTGAGCAGCTGTATCTATCTGCTCTTACATGAGAGAATAATTTCATTAACGTCTAAAAAATTATATCCAGTCTGTCCCTAGAATTGCAAATGTATTCTATGTTTGAGAATCAAAAGCTTGTTAAAGGTCAGCTTCTGACATGACATTAAACAATGCCTTGGGGTCAACCACCCTTCTTTACATTTCACTTCTTCATCCTCTTTATTGATGAAAGCATTAATGACGATTCATTGTGCAGTAATTTTGTCACCCCTAATGTCCAGCCAGCTCAAGCCTCAACTTGGCTACTCTGCAAAACTCTACTTGCCTGCTCTGGAATGAGGTCTAGGACAGCTCATTAGACTAACACTTGAACAAAAAATAAACATTGCAAATGAAATAAAAAAGATGGAGAAAGATAAAGAGGGCCCTACTGCTTAAAGCACTGTTCTCATATGCACAGTAAAATGTGTTCTATTTCATTCCCTCAAGAATGACCACTTTTTGGCTTGCTCTCATTCAAAGTAAGCAAAATGAGTATCCATGATTGATCAACATCAAAGCTCAAAATTCATCATCTTCCAAATTCTGACCATATGGAAACACAATGAACTTTATTTTGGAAAGTTCAGGCAAATTCATGTAATAATGATAATGTTGATTCCTAGCTTAGCTGGGAAAAGAAATGATTTCACTTACTCTTGCTCCATCATTTCCAGCTGTTCCTTCAGCACCCTTCTCTCCTATGCCACCCTGGGGAAACACACAAAATGCCATTTTTCATTTAATTATCTTTTTCTCTCACTTTGTGGAAGCTTCATGAGGGCAGGGGCTTATCTCTCTTCTTCATAGTTATATCCCCTTGAGCCTAGAGCAGTGCCTGGCATTGTATATTTTTCTCAATAAATATAGATACTGAACAAAAGAAAGAGAAAGGGAGGGAGGGAGGGAAGATTGACTTGTGACTTAGGATGGTAGACATAAAAGCCTGGCCAAGAAATAATTTTCAGGAGGAATTGAGAAAGCCTAAATGAATGAACTAAAACAAAACAAAACAAAACAACAGACTTACTCTGTCACCCTTGGGGCCCGGAGTTCCTGCAATTCCTCTTTCTCCTGGCATACCTTGAAGTCCTGGTGGGCCTGTATCTCCAGGGGTCCCCGATGGTCCTGGACTGCCCTAAAATGAACCAACAATAAGTGACCTCACCAATACAGTATTAAGATTGAGCCACATGAAATTTCTCTGCTGGTAAGTCAAAAAGAGTGGAATATCAGCAATTTCATATGGTTCAGCTTAGTGCTTATATTTTTCATTTGTGAAAATTGTCTGAGGTCATTTTTTGAAATAAAAAAGACTTTGCCTTTCTCTTTGTTGATTTATGTTTTCAACTTTTTTCTTTGGGGGAAATTGAGCATTAATTCAAATAAAATTAATGGTTGCCTTCCTTTTTCTTTGACAACATCATGGGGATCCTGATAAAGAAAGAAGACATTACTTTTAGAAAGTGTTTCACTCTCACTAATGAACCCATGATATTAAGCTTGCTTATAGGCTAAGTCAGTGATTAAATTGAAGCAGATACTATGTAATCACTCTGGACCTTAAAAATGATAAGGGACCTAATGTTATATGATCATGAAAAATTCTACTTTAATTGTTTATACTGAAATTGATCACCTTGTCTTCTACAAATCTTAAATGGCACCCAAAGGAAATGGTACTGATCTTTGCCTTATGATGTATTTTACTTTCTGATTTCAAAAATGACATACTTTCTTATGGTTAGTAAGCAGAACCTGAGACCAAAAAAATGGAGCATATAATTAGGAATATCTCTTAATAAATTATACGGTTTTCTATTTATTGCCTCTGCTTATTAATGGAATTATCCAATTGTCTATTTATTGCCTCTGCTTATTAATGGAAGTCACTAGTAAAAGTTCTATAAATAAATACTAGGAATGGGTTTCTATATGAGAATGTATCATTATGTGCACTAAACCCTAAATCCCATCACAGAAAAGAGACTTCTTTTCAGCTGACTCTTGAGTGCCAAGGAGAAAGCCTAGTAGATGCTTACTGAATCCTTGTTGAAGAAGAAAATTATATAATCGAATTACCTTGCAACAACAAGAGAACTACACTTTAGTTCCATCATGTGTTTATTGGGCTATAACTCTTGGAACATCCTGAAGCGCCCAGCTCACCGCCATACTTACTTTTGGACCATCAGGGCCGTGGCCCCCAGCCATTCCCTTCTCCCCAGGGAGTCCGGTTATTCCTGGTTCTCCTCTCTCGCCTGGATTTCCGCGTTCTCCCTAGTGCAACATTGGGATGTCAAGCAAGCTTAGCGACTGTTCAGAAAGTGGGTTAAAAATGTTTCTGGAAATCTGCAAAACTGCTTCTACTGGATAAAAACTGAGAAATGAGCCACTAATGAGGCTCAATTTTCTAATTTAGTGATAAGAAATGAACTTGAAGTAAGAATATACTAGTTTTGCAGCACAGGATTTTCTCACAAGATTTATTTTCATCAAGGAAAATAATTTTAATTCTTAAAATAAAGCCCAGTTTATGATAAAAGTTTTTTGTTTTTTTTTTTTTTAAACTGAAGGCAGTGGAAACAAAGTTAATGACGAAGGAGAAAGTACTCACTCTAGGTCCTAATGGGCCAACTGCTCCAGGATCTCCAGGAACTCCCTATAAAATATAATTTTAAAAATTGTAAGAAACGCTTTGAGCTAATTTTTAGGTATTTATTAGAAATCTTTCCATACCACACACCTAATTTCTTTTAATGTACTATTAGAAGTTTGAATAAGCCTATAATATTGAAGAAAGAAAAATATGTATACTTTTATAAATGAGGGGATATCCCATACATGGATGGAAATTATTTTTCCAGAAAAAAAATGTTTATTGAAGCTGAATGCTTGATTTTGGGCAATGAAAACATGCAAAATATTATCTCACAAATAGAGTGCACTGGTTTTTTAAAAGACAACAAAATATATAGTAATTTTATTTCTTCTTTTTTTTTTTTTAAAGATGTTATTTATTTATTTGACAGAGAGAGACACAGCAAGAGAGGGAACACAAGCAGGGGGAGTGGGAGAGGGAGAAGCAGGCTTCCC